TGAAGCAGAGACTGCCAATCTGTCAGTCACAAATGGAAAGTGAAGCAGACACTGCCAATCTGTCAGTCACAAATGGAAAGTGCAGCAGAGACTGCCAATCTGTCAGTCACAAATGGAAAGTGAAGCAGAGACTGCCAATCTGTCAGTCACAAATGGAAAGTGAAGCAGAGACTGCCAATTTGTCAGTGACTAAGGGAAAAAGCAGAGACTGCCAATCTGTCTTTCACTAGTACGAAATGCAGCAGAGACTGCTTTGCCAATCTGTCATTCACCAGTACCAAATACAGCAGAGACTGCCAATTTGTCCTTCAGCAGTGGAAAGGGCAGACTCTTCTTAAGTCACTCTGTGACGGATGCAGACAGAAAATTAATCATTGCCTCTCCATGACGGATGCAGATCGAAAATTAATCATTGTCTCTGAATGACAGATGCAGATAGAAAATTAATCATTGTCTCTTTATGACAGATGCAAATAGAAAACTAATCATTATCTCTGCGTGACATATGCAGATAGAAAATTAATCACTGTGTCTCCGTGACAGATGAAGATCTCTCCATGACAGATGCAGCTTTTGGTTATCAATCATACAGCTTGCCTCATGAATGTTTTCAGGTATATTAATCTCTCCAAAAGGAACCCCGAACTGTCTTTAAATCATGCACTTTATCAATGGACGGTGACCATGTTGCAGAGTTAATGATGTGGTCATGAAATATTACATAAAACTTTGATCTCAGGTACTTGTCAGGGCTAATGACGTGGCACATGAATGAAGCGTCACTTTCAAACAAAAGTACACTGTTAGCTGATGAAATCAATCAAGAGCGGAAAGGATTATTTCTTTTTAGTATGCCGCACTAATTGTCTCAAGAGCTTTTCAAGTGGGGTTACACAAATATAGTTTGTGGTCTCAGAACCAGGAAGCTCATTCCTAGAATATAGCAACAAACTATTTCCTGGTCTTTACATGGTTGGATACATGACTGATGTGGTTGGATACATTACCGACGTGTTTGGATACATGACTGATGTGGTTGAATACATGACTGATGTGGTTGGATACATTACCGATGTGTTTGGATACATGACTGATGTGGTTGAATACATGACTGATGTGGTTGGATACATTACCGATGTGTTTGGATACATGACTGTTGTGGTTGAATACATGACTGATGTGGTTGGATACATTACCGACGTGTTTGGATACATGACTGATGTGGTTGAATACATGACTGATGTGGTTAGATACATGAGTGACGTGGTTGGATACATGACTGACGTGGTTGGATACATGACTGACGTGGTTGAAGGTTGAATACATGACTGACGTGGTTGGATACATGACTGACGTGGTTGAATAATGACTGATGTGGTTGGATACATGACTGACGTGGGTGGATACAAGACTGATGTGGTTGGATACATGACTGACGATTAACATATTATACACTTGGAGAAATGGAACATTTCTTGCATCAATATTGGTCCATACATATACCAATGCCCTTTTTTTAAAATTGCAACATGTTTTTCCGTAAGAAAGCGGAGAAATCATTCTTTTGAGGGCGATCAAGGAATGTATTCAGAAATAATGTGACTTAACTTAGGAAGATGGCACCAGTGGTATAGAGTTGACTTAGAAAGACCAGGAAGATGGCACCAGTGGTATAGAGTTGACTTAGGAAGATAACACCCGTGGTATAGAGTTGACTTAGGAAGAAAGCACCAGTGACATAGAGTTGACTTAGGAAGATAGAACCAGTGGTATAGAGCTGACTTAGGAAGATAGAACCAGTGGTATAGAGTTGACTTAGGATGAGAACACCAGATGTATAGAGTTGACTTAGGAAGATAACACCAGTTGTTGCAAATTTTAGGCTAAAAAAAAAAGCACTTCGCAGTGGGGCCCTACTTGGCAGTGGGGCCCTACTTGGCAGTGGGGCCCTACTTGGCAGTGGGGCCCTACTTGGCAGTGGGGCCCTACTTGGCAGTGGGGCCCTACTTGGCAGTGGGGCCCTAGGCGGTTGCTTAGTTTGCCTATGCCTAAGAACAGCTCTGTTACACCAGAGCCTGTATGATTTACACTACAATCTGAGTGATATACACTACAACCTGAGTGATTTACACTACTACCTATAGATTTTCACTACAACCTGTATGCTATACACTGCAACCTGTTAGTAAATGACTATAAATGATTCAACATCTCACCTTCCCAGCTTTACAGTGAATAGCTGCCACATTGTCACTGTGCTGTGACAGCCAGCTGTCAAGATCTTCACAAAATGGTTTGATGAGTTCCAGCCGGGGAGGATTGTGGTCGTCAAACGGATAATAAGCCACCCTATTGTGAAACCTGCCAGGATCATAGCTCCGCTCAGAACATCTGCAATGAGTCCAAGAACTCTTCAAGATCATTTTCAATGTGACTTAAATCAGTTTTTTTGTTATTTTTTTAACAAAAACTTCTGATAAAACACCATGTGTGAGTTTATCGTTATAAACATTTAGACTTAGTCATTTAGCTTCCATACATATAGATTTAACATTTAGACTTGGTCATTAAGGACCGAGTTATATATATATATATTTTTTTTTTATTTATATATCGGTATTGAAACTGAAATGGACTTTTAATCCAGTACAGAGACAAGTAACTTTCCTTGCACATTGAAGTGTTTATGACTGTCAACAGTTAAAAAAACTACTTACAAGTTGTAGACTTTGTAATGATCTTTGTGTTTTGATTCTAAAAACCTGTGAGAACATATAAAAACAAAGTTGAGTTGGTCAGCTATTTATTCTTGTGGCAATTAGCCACTATGGTGCCTAACACACAAAACAAAATATATGGTATCAAAAGCCAGTCAGGGGATCAATATAAACGCGATAAATAATTGTCAGGCGATTAATGATAATTTTAAAATGCCTAAAATCTGACTTGATGACGTCCTCCATGTGATTTCTGTAGTAGCCTTCCAGTTTTTCTGCCGGGAATCCCATTGCAATGATGTTGGGTGTGATATCTTGAGAGAAGTTAAGGTTTAATCTTAGTCTAACACTTGGTGCAAGGCATTTCATTGAAACTATCTTCACATACTTTCTATAGCTATCTATTTCTTTTTATATCTATCTATCTATATATGTATGTATGTATGTTTATATGTATGTATGTATGTATGTATATATCAAGGCATAAATTGTATTTGCAATGGTATTGCATTTCAAAATAGTAGAGTGGTTAATTGTAAGAAATCACAATACATAATTTATACTTAAAATAAATTAAGGTCAACAAACTATGTAATAAAATGAAGCACAGGAAATAAACTAAGGATATTGAAGAATACTTTGATAAACAGGTGATCTATACTATGTGCAGTCATTGAAATATTGACTTGTGTATTTATACAAAAGTAAAGAGCCCCAATAAAACAAAATGCATAATAAATGTAATGTGAAATAAAACATTACAATAGAGAAATGGCTCAGCACCTGAATATCTCAAGGAACTGATTTATAAACATGTATCCGTGAAGAGTCTGCGGTCTTCATCACAGTACTTGCTGAGTGTTCCTAGTGTGGATAAACACAGACAAAAGTTGTACGGAGTGCGCTCTTTTGAAGCGATGGCGCCAAAATTATGGAACAGTTTGCCTCAATCTTTGAGGGGAATTGTAAATGATAAAAAATCATTTAAGAAACAATTAAAAACCTTTTTGCTTAAATAGATTTTGGAGGACCAGAGCGCAGTGAGCATGCTAAAATGGCATGGATACCAGCACAATATAAATATCAAATCAATCAAACAAAATGTTACAATAGAGAAACTTTACAATGGAGAAATGTTACAATAGAGAAATGTTAAAATAGAGAAATGTAGGTTAAAAGTGCATGTCCTGATAATGACAGCAAATTTTTTAGATATAGATATAGATAGAGATACAGCACTATTTTTAGTTACACTCTACAATCATTGTCAGTGGTGCTACAGCCCATGTGGGGCCTGCTCCACCACATCCCTCCATTGGGATTGATCCATGAAATTCCACCTCCATGTGCGGATCCCCAGCTTGTGATCAGTTCTTCTCTACGTTGTGAATACATCTTAGTCTTCGTTGACAGATGAGCCGTCTCTCCCTAGGTTTCTGCCTGAGATAACTTTTGCTGCTCCACATTACGGCACCCTCTTAACGTGTCCTGTCCAGAGCAGTCTGCCTTTTTAAATCGTTGCAACTATGGGTGCATCTTCAAACGATATATCTCTTGGTAAGTAAGGATTCTCCATACATCATTGTCTATCAAAGGACCATATATTTTATTGAGGATTTTCCTCTCCCATGTAATGAGCAGGTTCTCTGCTTTTCTGGCAAGGGACCAAGTCTCACTTGCATAAATTAAAACAGGTCTTTTGCTTTCTTTGTTCTCCTTGAGGGTTTTTAGCTTCCCAGTAGCTTTTGTAGTCTCAAATAAAAACGGTTGCTTGCTGTTATGCTTTCTTTCACGTCTGACATTATTTCATTGTGCACATTTATAGTATCTCTTAGATATTTGAAAGTAGCCACTCTCTCAAGGATGTTTATTTTGATGTTATCACCATTATGCATGTTTTGTCACATTACCATATATTTTGTCTTCATTTCATTGAATGATTGAGATACAAAGCAGGTTACTCTATGTACCAGGAGACACAAGAAACAAGTTCAATTAGGTTACTCTATGTACCAGGAGACACAAGAAACAAGTTCAATTAGGTTACTCTATGTACCAGGAGACACAAGAAACAAGTTCAATTAGGTTACTCTATGTACCAGGAGACACAAGAAACAAGTTCAATTAGGTCACTCTATGTACCAGGAGACACAAGAAACAAGTTCATTTAGGTTACTCTATGTACCAGGAGACACAAGAAACAAGTTCAATTAGGTTACTTTATGTACCAGGAGACACAAGACTCAAGAACCTGTGCTATACATTATGATTTATCTTTATCAGGCTTTTCCCTGCAAAAAGGGGATCAGCTGTTGGACAATAGGGCTAATATTGGAAATCTTGTTTTACACAAGAAGTTTTAATGAAAAAGCTGAGTTTAAATTTTGTAATCTGCTCCTCTTGAAGGGCTTTTTGTTGTAATCTGCTCCTCTTGAAGGGCTTTTTGTTGTAATCTGCTCCTCTTGAAGGGCTTTTTGTTGTAATTTGCTCCTCTTGAAGGGCTTTTTGTTGTAATCTGCTCCTCTTGAAGGGCTTTTTGTTGTAATCTGCTCCTCTTGAAGGGCTTTTTGTTGTAATCTGCTCCTCTTGAAGGGCTTTTTGTTGTAATCTGCTTCTCTTGAGGGTTTTTTTGTTGTAATCTGCTCCTCTTGAAGGGCTTTTTGTTTCACAATTTTTTCAACATAATTATGGGTACGTGTTTTGCATTTTTTAAAAATGAATCTGTTTTAAAAAACTGGCACATGACACCTGTTGGGAACATGAAGGCATCAAATGATATGCTATTATTATGATTATGTCACCCGTAAAGTTCAGTATAATTTTTATTTAAATGAATCTAATGAACCAATCACCATGAGACATCATTTCATGACTAACATTCATTTCCAAATATGAGCTGAATGATCCATAATCAACTTTCACAATTTCTTCTAGCTCACAGGTAATATTTTAAAAAGCTTTTCAAACATCTTATTTCCCCTTTAAACCTCAAATTGGCATTGTATAATAATGTTTAATCAATTAAATAGGATACATGTGAGATCCAAGTCAAAGCCATCTTCCTTCAGACGGCGCTTGTTCCTGCTGACAAGTCCTTTAAGTTTGTTTGCTGCCATTCAAGCCAACAATGTCCATGAAATACTTTGAGAAGAAATGAAAGGGAACAGCCTTGTGTTGTTCGGCCACATGATTACACTCATCAAACTACTCCATTATTTTAGCAGGGTGGAAAATTCAAATTGCCTGAAAATATGTAAAAAAGAATGACTTCAGAGGACTCTTGTGAGCATTCATCAGCCTACACTGCAATTGTATGATAGTCATGGATAAATTGAAAAGCTAAAAAACTGTAAAATTAATTCATAGCTGGTCTAAATGTTCTTCTTTATGGAGTTTGTCTGTCATAACATATATCTATTTACTTCAGTGGCCTGTTTACCAGACCTGTTTACCCTCAAAATCTTAAAATTGTACAATACATTATCTTAGAAGTAAAAAAAATAAACATGCAGTATATATAATGTATACACCTCAAAATCATACATTGTACGCCAAAATCATAAGAGTAAACAGGTCTGTAACAGGTATGACAATATTGTGGGGAGGTGGCCAATTGAAAAATATCCAGCTTTAGGTGACAAATATTATTTGTTGGACACTTCCTCGTGTTATTGATTTGTGCATGTTTTTGTGTGTCTGACAGAGATAAGGAATAAGAAAATTTTGTGAAACTATTACATATGTCAGTAAACTATACTCATATAGTTATACATATTATAGACGGGTTAATCTGATATTAGATTATCCTGACTCATTATCCATCACATCCCAAAACTCAACAATATAATTCTGCTATAGAAGACGGCATCACCAGTACGAAGTTCAACATGAAACTGTGATTTTTCAGGAATAAAAAAAACAACTTAAATTATTAGTTAGGGAAGACTATATTTTGGGGTAAAGTTATGCTTGATACTGACTTAGCATTTAGGTTAGGTTGAGTAGCAGATTTAAGAATTGAAGTTATTTCTCAAACAATTATTTCAATAAATTTAAAGTTTTTTTTTTTTTAAACTAATTTTTTTTTTAATGAGTGGAGCGCTGCATGTAACTTGACCCAACTTTCTATTGTACTAGAATTGTATTGCTATGTATCAGGTTTTGAAACAAACAGTTTGGCATTTTAGCAGACTGTCCTGGCAACAAAAACAACAAATATCTATAATACTTTCAGACCCCCACATTTCAGGAGCCCTATAAAGCTACCAGCAGCCCTATAAAGCTACCTAGCAGCCAAATAAAGCTACCAGCAGTCGTATAAAGCTACCAGCAGCCCTATAAAGCTACCTAGCAGCCCTATTACTGGATACTTTTACAAGCCTAAGCATATCTTGTTCTACTATAGCCTTCACACAGCTTAAATTGGGGAATGCAGTCGGTCTTTTCATTTCAAACTTAACATATCTTGTTCTACCGGTACTATAGCCTTCACACAGCTTTAATTGGGAATGCCGTCTGTCTTTTCATTTCAAACCTAAGCATATTTTGTTCTATTTAGCCTTCAAACAGCTTTAATTGGGGAATGCAGTCTGTCTTTTCATTACAAGCCTACGCATATCTTGTTCTGCTATAGCCTTCATACAGCTTGAATGCAGTCGCTCATTTATTATCCTTTATTTAATATTTATCAGTGGCATATTCTCAGATAAGCTTCCTGCAATTTATAACCTTTAATAAATTTTTATTCTCAATTCTTTCATTAAGTTTTTCTTTTTTCTCTGACTTTTTGGTGATATTTTCTTACGGTAGACTAGTCAAGTCTATCATTGAGTACCTGTTATAAGTTTAATTTTAATCAACATCTAGATATTCACTAAGAAATATATATTCATTTCTAGCTCTTCATGGTAAGGTGCTCTTTTCTTTTTAAAGTTAACAAAACTCAATTATATTACTATGCAAGCTTTCTTGGAGTTAAATATGGGAAATTTAAATATAAATTTTTTTTTTTACTTTTTTAAATGTAAATCTCTCTTTTTTAGAAATAAAAGTTAGGTTAATTTATTATCTTTGAAGACAAAGTTACAATAATTTATTTAGTTTAACTATAAACTACTGAATGCAGAGTCTATAAATTCTAAATGTGATGAAAAAAGTGAGGAAAATCATTAATGAGTCCACATTTTTTAATGTCCTAACACTAATAAAATGAAGGTTAAAACCTGCAGAAGGAAACATTTTTCTAAAATTGCTATCCATCCTCAGCTATTAATAGTAGATCAGGGTACAGACCATAGTAATGGTGTTCCTTACTAAATTTTGCCAGATGTCAATTCTCAAAAGTGCGCTCCCTTAATAAAACACACACATCCTTTATAGAAAGTTATCATAACCCCTAAAAGTGCAAACCGGAGTGGTGGCCCCCCTTTGCCCCTCAAACACTCATTCATACGGTAGTATTTTTTATTTTTATTTTTAATACATAGGGCCTAAGTATAATTATTGTATTACATAGGCTAAGCCTATAGCATATAGGCCCATGGAATTTTTTATTACCTCTACCAACTGGGAGCTAAAAAAAATGTATAAGTTTAATTTATTATTAAGAGCTTATTCTTTGCTGTACTATTTATTTACAATAACTTAATTTAAAAATGCTAAATTCCACTACCTCCTAGGAGGATCCTTTAATTATGAGTAGCAAACCAGGGGGGGGGGGGGGGGGGGCTAGAGCTGCAAATTTTGTTTCTTTATATCAAAAATAAATTTAAAATTAATTAACTTTTGGAATAAAGAAAGTATTTGGTCAAAGAACATTATCTGCGCCACTTTGGGTGTCTGTGTAAGATTGGGTGTCTGTGTAAGATTTATCCCCCTTGTTTACCCGTGGAGAGCTAACTTTGCTTTTTTTTAAATATTAATATGCCGATTGGAATTTTTTTTCTTAATGAGCTTTTACATTAATATATTTCATTGGGTGGTTAATTATAATATTTAAAAAAAAGAAGCAATTGTACAAATTTAATTTTTGTGGAACCTTCAATAAAGCATGTAAAATTTATTCTGTGAAACTGTAAGATGGGTTTTCATTATTTTGAATGTTTTAAAAGTATTTTTAATCTTTATATTCAAATTTACATTAACTTTAGAACAGTACAGTGTGTAATTTAATAACAGTAGAACACGAACATGTGGTTTTAGCGTTTACATTGGGCGTTAGATCATAGATTTTAGGTTTGGAGATTTACACTTACATTAGGGGGACTAAATTAGGGGGTAAATTTATGCTCGAGTTTTAGGGAGACTCAATTTACGCATAAGTTAGGGAGACTGACTTAACATTCTGTTTAATTTAGAGTTGTTGATTTTTCTTTAAAAAGTTTCATTAAATTTGCAGCTTGTATGTTTTGTGATATTTTTTTAGCAGACATTTTTTCGCAGTAAATTTGTTTTTTTCAGTCGGCACCTTTCCTGCTGTAGCGCATCTGCCATCATGGCAACAAAAATGGCGGCTGTGAAAGAAATTAGTGCAATAACACTATGAAAATCAAATGAGTCGCGCTGATTGCGTAAGTTTACCAGGGAGATAAACCTATAAAGAAACTCAAAGTGGCGCCCACTGTGTAATTTGACCAAATATTTTATGCCTTACTTTCCCTAACTGTATAATAATCATGAATATTAATCTTTTTTTCCACTTCTTACTTTGCGCTTTGCAGAGAAGTGAATGAAACTGTTTGCTAATAGGGCTAATGTCAATGTGAAGAGATAGCACCCTGAAGTCATTTGCGTGTTTTGTCCCTGGCTCCGATAGGGTCAAAACCCAGTTTAGGAATAGATTTAGGGTTCAGGTTAGTTTTAGGGACAGATTTAGGGATAAATTTAAGACATATGTTCGCGGCTATGGAAAAATAATCCAGAGCTATCTCTTCATCTTTACGGCTAGTATTAATAGTAATATTGAAATTTCGAATAAAATTGAGTGAATTTTGGTTGCATTAAGTCATTAAGCTTCAGTGTTTACTCATCAGACAGAGAGAAGCTGAGTACAATCGAATTGTCATGGGCATGTCATTGTAAATTATTGTAACTACCGGTATCACTAAGTACAAAGTTGTAAAATTTCTTTAGTCTGTAGCCTATTCATTATTCATATTCACTCATCCCTGAAACTATACTATAATAAATTATGTTATCAAATAAAATGGGTACAAAATTTGGATACTTTTTACTTTAAAAACTATTAAAAGTTTAAAAATTTGCTCGTCTGCCTTCCTTTCGGGACAAATGGTCACTAACACTATTCAAATAACTAACGCCGTCGTAAATTTGATCTAGTATTAATATTAGTAGTATTAGTTATACCCTTATAGTGATAGTTAAATAATAAATAGTTATATCTAGGCCAAACTAAAGAGGAAATAGATCGTCCATTTTTATTATAACTCACCAAGATTTATCTTTCTTGAATAAGACTGCCTCTTTCTTAACCGAAGTAGAGAACAAATTCAAATTAGGCCTACTTAGCTTCTTTCATCGACATAATGAAAAAAGGTTAAATTCCTCTCCTTTGATAATATTAAAATTTACACGATACGAACAACTCTACTTCCCTCAAGGTCTACACATCAAAACTACTGGTATTAATGCGCTGAAAAATATGTCATTCAAGAAACACACTTCCGTAACCTTCTATGACGAGTAGAAATGTAGGTCAAACTAACTGAACCTGACCCAGTGACCCCAAATTACCCCAAGAGGCGCGAAGCATGCAACAATTTGGTTTATTTCTTTAAAACTCACTCTGTCTTAAACTTCATATTGACACATTTTTAAAAAGAATTTGGACATTTCATTGATAATTAACATTTGCTGATTTGTTAGTTGTTACGGTACTCGATGGTGTGCGGTGGAATAGCATGGCGTACCTTCTTATTAATCTGATTTTAAACTGCATTATGATTTTGTAAGTCAAGTAAAAGTAAATAATAATTAATGAAATGAAGAAGTTGAAACAAATTAATAGTTTAAATACAAAATTATAAAAGATAATAAAAACTGTAAATCACCATAACTAATTAGAGAGAACTAAACATAAAGATTTGTTTTGTTAATAAACACGGCCAGAAACTCTGAGCGGGCCTGATCAAGCCAAGGCCAAGGTTTGGGGACATCTAAATTTCCCCTCTCGTACTTTATCCACTAGCATCTCTTCTGATGATGTTTGATCAAATGTAGAATGATGGAAATCTAAATGCAAGTAAGCGCAAAAATTCAGATAATTTATATTAATTTATCCCGGGTTGTTCATCTAACTGTAATGAGCCAAATGTTAAAACAACAGATTACATTGTGTAAAACCTTGTAAAAGCAGAAGTATCTAAAAATTGGCGGCTTGCCCGCAGTTTTTACCCATTTTTTTTTCTTTTTGCCACCAGTAACAAATTGTTTTCACTGAACCACTGAACGAGGAAATACTAGTGCTAGCTACTTACTTTTTATTAGTGTGCTCATTTAAGCTTTTAAATGTACAAAATATGTTCTTAAACCATTTACCTGTTTCAAACAACATGTCAGTGGAGGCCTTAGAGTAAGAGTAAGAGTTATTTTGCTTTGCGAAAGATTTAGGAATAAGAGCAGCTCATTCTGCTTTAAAAAAGACTGTTAGAGATTTAAGTATCGTTTACTTAGTGGATGAAGTTCTGTCGTCTGCGGGTGATGTGTACTCAGTCAACCAGTTTACTTAGTGGAGGAAGCTCTGTCGTCTGCGGTTGATGTGTAGTCTGTCAACCAATTTACTTAGTGGAGGAAGCTCTGTCGTCTGCGGGTGATGTGTACTCAGTCAACCAGTTTACTTAGTGGAGGAAGCTCTGTCGTCTGCGGGTGATGTGTAGTCTGTCAACCAATTTACTTAGTGGAGGAAGCTCTGTCGTCTGCGGGTGATGTGTACTCAGTCAACCAGTTTACTTAGTGGAGGAAGCTTTGTCGTCTGAGGATGATGTGTAGTCTGTCAACCAGTTTACTTAGTGGAGGAAGCTCTGTCGTCTGAGGAAGATGTGTAGTCTGTCAACCAGTTTACTTAGTGGAGGAAGCTCTGTCGTCTTCGGGTGATGTGTAGTCTGTCAACCAGTTTACTTAGTGGAGGAAGCTCTGTCGTCTTCGGGTGATGTGTAGTCTGTCAACCAGTTTACTGTGTACTCAGTCAACCAACAAAATGAATCTAGTATGGAGCTCCAACTAAATATAAGACAAATGGAGCTTGAAAAGGGAAGAAAAGCAAGGTCTCAAGAAAATGGAACTACCTCAAAGAGGTAACGATCAAAAAGATCAAGAGCCTCAAGTAAAATGAAAAGGAATTGAGATCATGAGTGACAACAATGCAATGGAAAATAGACTTACGGCTCTCACCAGTCAATAGACCTAAGGATACCACCAGATCCAGTCAATAGACCCACGGCTATCACCAGTCAGTAGACCTAAGGCTACCACCAGATCCAGTCAATAGACCCACGGCTATCACCAGTCAGTAGACCTAAGGCTACCACCAGATCCAATCAATAGACCCACGGCTATCACCAGTCAGTAGACCTAAGGCTACCACCAGATCCAGTCAATAGAGCCATGGCTATCACCAGTCAGTAGACCTAAGGCTACCACCAGATCCAGTCAATAGACCCACGGCTATCACCAGTCAGTAGACATACAGCTACCACCAGTCAGTAGACCTAAGGCTACCACCAGTCAGTAGACCTAAGGCTACCACCAGATCCAGTCAATAGACCCACGGCTATCACCAGTCAGTAGACCTAAGGCTACCACCCGATCCAGTCAATTGATCTACGCCTATCACCAGCCAGGGTTATGATGCAATTAAATTTTCAAAGTTAATCCCTAAATTTGAAGGGAAAAAACGATCGACCATTATTTTGAACAATTTGAAATGACTGCACCCAATTTTAAATATCAAAAAAATATTTGGTCTACCTTATTGCAGATAGCATCGACTGGTCGGAAAGCCGAAGTTTTTGTGTATTTGAACGCTGTGGGAACTATAAGTATAAGCTTGTTGCACCATTAATGCTTAAGGCGTATGAATGTGCCCGAAGCTTACCGCAAAAATGTTTAGGGAGCTACGTTTTGCCAAACTCATGGCATGTTTCTACGATAAATGGAACGACTCCTGGAAAAGTGGCTTAACGCAAAGAACATAGGCTTCAATAAGTTCGAGAACCTCGTAGTGATGGAAGAGTTTCAATAACTGTGGGCGTACAGACAAATATTGCAGGCCGTGGCAAAGATGATGTGCATAGGGCAACAGTGTTTAACTGACGAATTCCCCATCTCGCATCGATTCTCGAAGAGCCAGTTTGACACAAAACAAGTCAAGCACCACAGAGCAACACTATCAACTTATAGCACACCTCAACAAAGATCACACCAATCTGGCTCAATAGAATCAAGTAAACGCTTCACTGTGCCTCGGTGTAAAACAATCCAATATAAACAATCATTCTTCCAACGCACAATAATCGCTTGGAAACACCTGGACGATGACGCCGTGGACTCGACATCGGTCGAAAGCTTCAAGGCTGCCCTGGCATCCGCTTGGAGCCGTTAGGATAGCGGCATAGCTTCCCCAACCGTTGCTCATATGCCAGGGACATGGATTCAGCAACCTACCCTACCAGAACCAGAAGTTCGAGAGTCATATGTGCCTATTGCTAAAAGAAAGGTCATCAGAGCGATGATTGTTGTAAACACAAGACAAAACACTTGTATTCCAAGCAGCTATCCTGTAGCGTGGTTCCTTCGGCAGCTTTCGTGCTAGTGGGGTTCCTTAAACTATGTTCTGTTTTTTAGTGGTACAAGGAAGACTCAAACTATGTTCTGTTTGTTTGTGGTGCAAGGAAGACTCAAACTATGATCTGTTTGTTTGCTCGTGCAAGGGAAGCCTCATCTATCTTCTCCGTCTCGAATGCTCTTCTAACCTGATTGATAAGCTGCAGTAGAAGTCATATGAAACAGTGACTAACCTTTGTATTTCTGATATCTGGACATTTCTTCTCAAGCGCTTGTATACGGGGTTTTTGTGTGTTTTTTTTTCCCTTGTTTTTTTTTTAAAGTGTTGAGTTCATTGCAACCCAGTTTCTGCTGTTTTCCAATAGAGATGTTAATTTATTGCAGGGGTCTCAAACTCGCGGCTCGCCGGCCATTAGCGGCCCGCAAGACGATATTTTGCGGCCCGTTACATGACAGCAAAGTTTAGTGTTAATGCGGCCCGCGCGTTTTCCCCATTCTCTTATTTATAATGTGACCCCACGCGACAGTTTTAGTCGAATCGCAGCGACTAAAGTAATTCTGATTGTTATTAAGATTTGGGCGGTGATTATACTGGGAAAACCAGGATTAAAATCTCACTAAAAGTTTTTATTTTATGAGACAAACATGGCGGCCAAAGTGCGGTTTTGAGAAAAGTTTAAAAAGTCAGTTAGTGGGAAATTCACAACCATAATTGTGTAAATCGCAGCTATCTGACACAGTATCAAAGAATCCCTATTAAAATTACTGCTAGTATTTACAAGTTAGGGAAATTCCGAGCCTGTCAGCTTGGTCCCTTTCAAATTAGGGTTTGTCAAAAAAAAAAATCATTCTCCCTACAATAGCAATAATTCATAAATCTGGCGCCTGCTCCTGCCAACTGTTTGGAAACGTTTTAGCATTTAAACCGTCATGGAGAAGGATGGGGTGGTTGTCTCTGTACTAAGTGATCCCAAATGGTTCATGCATTTGGCTTTAATTGTTGACATTACACAGGAGATGAATCTACTCAACAAGAAGTTACAAGACCAGTGACAGCTTGCCAGTGTTGTCTATGACAATGTCAGGGGATTCTGCACAAAGCTTATGTTATGATTCTTAGAGAAACCTCTGCCATTACCCAACGTGCAAAGTACCCATGCACTCGGGCACATCATTCAGTAGTAAGCATACTGATGCCATTGCAAAGCTACAGGAAGAATTCGGTCACATGTTTTCAGAATTCAAAACACACAGAACCACTTTTCAACTTTTTGCTGACCCTTTTTCTTTTTATGTGGAAGATGCCCCCCACCCCATCCCCTTTTTTTGCGCTTCAAATGGAGCTGATTGATCTTCAGTCCCATTCTAAGTTCAGGGAGGTATATGAAAAAACAGACAACTATGGACAATACATGAGAGCATTGCCCTCGACGTTCCCCGAGATTTCCAGGTTGTTCAAGCGCATCATGTGCCTCTCTTATGGAGTACCTGTCTGAGTGAACAGCTCTTTGCCACTATCAACTTTAACAAGGTCAAAGTTCAGGGCAAAACTCAATGATGAGCATCTTCAAGCCATACTGCGGGTCTCAGTTGCTTCCTTGCTCAAGCCATACAGAGGGTCTCAGTTGCTTCCTTGCTCAAGCCTAATGTTGCTCAGCTGTGTAAGAAGAAGCTCTGTCAGGTCTCTAGCAACAAGGAGTAGGAGGAAGAAACTGAAGTGAAGCCTTGTTCTTGATAACCTTAATTTTTTTTATTTCTTATTAATACATGTTGAGCAGATTGTAACAGTTGTACTTTTATTGAATTTAATATGGCTTCTTTGTCGAATACTTGATGCGGCCCAGTCTCACTCAGACTCTATATCCTGTGACCCCAGGATTATTTGAGTTTGAGACCCTT